CATAAAAAAGAGTAAGAAGCAAAGAATATAGGAGTAGGAAGAAATAGTGAAGTGTCTGTATCGGGAAAGATAATCTATGCTGAATGCGCCACTCTGTTTGATCTCCTACTAATATACTGGTTGCTACTCCATTAGAAACACATTTATTATTTTCGCTTTCTCCTGGCAATTTCTCTAATTCAAATATTAGTTAACAGTTCATAATGGTTAACTATTTAATAATATATATGTGAAATTAAAAGGTTGCTCTCATCTGAACATGCATACATTAGGTACAGCAGGCATTAGGGGCTAGAGTAGGACATGCCAAGAATGGGGTACATTGACGTTGTGGCAGGCTTATGAAATGTATGATCATATACTGTATTATTTTTGCCTAGGTGAGGTGTTTTTAAATAAAAGTCTGCATACCCTTAGTTCTTAATACTGTGTATTGCCCCCTTTAGCATCAATGACAACATGCAATGCAGTCTTTGGTAATATTTGTCTATGAGGCCCCTAATTCTTGCAGGTGGTATAGCTGTTCATTCGTCTTGGCAAAATGCCTCTTGGTCATGTAAAGTCTTTGGTCGTCTTGCATGTACCGCATGTTTGAGATCTCCCCAGAGTGGCTTGATGATATTAAGGTCAGGAGACTGTGATGGCCACTCAAGAACCTTCACCTTTTTCTGCTGTAACCACTGGAGGGTCAACTTGGCCTTGTGATTAGGGTCATTGTCATGCTGTAAATCCAAGAGCGTCCTATGCACAGCCTTCATGTAGAAGAATGCAAATTGTCTGCCAGTATTTTCTGATAGCATGCTGCATTCATCTTGCCATCAATTTTCACTAGATTCCCCTGCTTTTAAAGCTCACCCCCCCAAAACACCAGTGAGCCACCACCATTCTTCACAATGGGGATTGTATTCTTTTCCCTAAGGCCTCGTTGACCCCTCTCCAAACATAGGGCTTATGGTTGTAACCATAATGCTCTATTTTGGTCCCATCACTCCAAATTACAGTGTGCCAGAAGCTGTGCTGCATGTCAAGGTGTTGTCAGGCATATTGTAACAGGGCTTTTTTATTTACATTGGTGCATTAAAGGCTTCTCTCTGGCAACTCGACCATGCAGCTAATTTTTCTTCAAGTATCATCGTATTGCGCTACTTGAAACAACCACACTGTCTTTTTCCAGAGCAACCTGTATTTCTCCTGAGGTTACCTGTGGGTTTTTCTTCGTATTCCGAAGAAATTCTTCTGTCAGCTGTGGCTGAAGTCTTTCTTGGTCTATTTGATCTTGGCTTGGCATCAAGAGATCCCCATATTTTCCACTTCTGAATAAGTGGTTGAACAGTGCTGACTGGCATTTTCAAGGCTTTGGATATCTTTTCATATCATTTTCCATCTTTATAAAGCACCATTACCTTGTTCTCTTTTTCTGCTGCCCATGACTCAGTATCTAGCCTGCTCAGTGCATCCACATGATAGCTAACAAACCCATTGACTATTTATACACAGACACTAATTACATAAGTATTAAGATAGAAATACATGGTGCACAGTTGCGAGGCAAGAACAATGGCATGTTATTTTTACAATATGTGTAACTCCTCATAATACATCTCAACTATCTTTGCAACATCGACAAATGGCTAAACCAATGCAAATATATCCACTTTGCCTGAGAAAGACACATATTTGTCATCTTCTGGCTATCCTTCTGACTCTTGAATGCTTGTTCGTCACTAGTGGAGGCACATTGGGTTGTTAACAGTTATTTACCATATATGTAGATACGCAGTCTGAAGGAGCGAAATTCCCTGTGTGTGGATTTTAATTTTGGAAGCGATTATTCTCATACCACACCGTTACTGCAGTGCAAGAGTTGTCATGTACCCCAATCACTATTATTTGTCACGGTCTGACCATGTTTTGTTCTGCCTGTCCTATATGTAAGACTTCCTGACCTCCTTAACCACACACCAGTGGCTATACACTGCAACGTAGTAATTTAACTTGGTATAACAGGGGATAGGAAGAGGAGAGGGGTGAGGGGCTGCCCAAAGCCCTTGAGGTACACTGAATAATGCTTTATTGGTCTTCCTTGTATGTCCACCAGGATAGATTGCAGGTAGTGGTAGATTCTTAAAGATTGAGCAGAAAGAAAGCATTCATAATAGTTAGAGTAATTTACGAGTCCCTTATAGTTAGCAAAATACAGCGGTACACGCTTCTCCCAGCAATTCCAGAGTTTACTATGAGCTTTTTCTTACCCTTTTAATCTAAATGCCATTAGTTCATAATGGTAACTGGACTCCACCCTATTCCATCCCTCCTGTGTTGAAAGTACAGGTACTGCCCTCCAGTGGCTTGCTATGCTGGTTTTCGCCACTAAAAGCATGTGGATAACCACTGTTTTGTTAGGGGAAGTGCATATCTCTGGGTCGATGTGTAATAAAAATCTTTCTGGTTTCAGTGAGAGTCTGACCTGTGTAATAGTAATTATATTCTTCTGGAGTTTAGACCAGAATACTTTTAGCTTAGGGCACTCCCAGAAAATATGTACTAACGTGCCAATTGATTCTTTGCATCTCCAGCAAACTAAAGAGGTGTCTGCATATATTTTAGATAACCTTGAGGGAACCCAATACCACCTCATCAGAATTTTGCAGTAAGTTTCCCAATGTGTTAGACTGTTAGATGCAGCTTTAATCATTTGGATACCTTGTAGACACACAGGCAGAGGAAACGTGGTGCCCAGTTCTGCTTTCCATTAGGTCATATAAGGCAACTTTGTCAGGGTTTCTACATTAGTGAGAGCGTTGTAATATAGTGATAATAAGTTAATAGGCGGTTTGTTGCCAACACAACATTGCTCAAATGGTGTCAGGAGGGAGTCGACTCCAATTGTTATTTGGAGGTTCATTGGCATGTGTTTTAATCTTAAATACGTGAATCTTTCCCTTGGAGGGAGGGAAAAGTCTGCTTGTTGTGATGAAAATGATTTGATTCCTGATTTGTCAAGTAGTGAACCCAGGTTGGTAGCTCCACCATATATCCAGTACTAGTGACATATTGTGGGAAAAAAATTTGAATGACTGTATTGGAGTCTTGGAGGCTAAGCTACTTGATCCCATCAACCCTTGAGACCATTGTCTCAATTTATTTAGTATGAATTTGATGATAATCTACCAGGGGGAGCCACACCGGCTTGCTGGCCTGTGTTAGCACCGACAAGCCACAAGCCAGAATTGAGGCCTTATAGTACAGTTTAATGTTGGAGATACCCAGTCCAGGAAAGGCGACTAGCCACTCTTTTCGCGTTTTTTTTTTCCAGATGTGGGCATTGAAAGTGGATTGTAATTTGTGCAGAATCTTATTGGGCACTGATATTGGTAGTGTGCGAAATAGGTACAGTATGTGGGGTAAATATATTATTTTGATCTTATGGACACGACCCACCCAGGAAATATCGCCATCAGTCCACTTCTCGAGTTGTTTTTTTAGTTTGTATATGAGCGGGACATGTCCACCAAGCACATGTCTATTCTTTAATAAATGGAATCAACCGGAGCCTTCTCCGCTGTTTATTTACTATGCTAAGTGTCATAAAGATCATGAGCTAACGATTGGCTTTTGGGATACTGCGATTTTTGTAGGGCATTTATCGTTTTCCCATTTCATATCCAAAGTGGGATCCAGAGTGCAGGTAAAATCACCACATATTATAATATGACCGTATTTCATTGCATTGATTTTCTTTCAGTACTTTAAGGAAGAGGGGTATTTGTGCTTCATTAGGTGCATAGAGCGAGGCTATTGTGACTTTGTAACCATTGAGGGTCCCTGTTAGTATCAAAATCCTCCCTGTCTCATCTTTGAATTGTAGAAATAAAAATATGCAGGTATTAAGTGGGTGCTTAGTGCTAATGTAGAATACTCTAACGTCTAGGTGGGGTCCCCTTAACCTTCACCAATAGTATAAAACACAAATATAAATAAGATGGAGTATCTTACATGCACATACGAGAACCATTCTTTCTATTAGATAAAACTCCTATAATAAAACATAAAAGACAAATAATGGTGAAATATCGTTTGAACTTGTGGGAAAAGTGTCAATATTTCCAATGAATTTATGCTCACAAGTAGGGAGCCAATAAATATTAGGCTCAAATATTCAGCTTTGTGGGATATAGGGGGTCCCACTCCCTCCTCTGTATGTAAAAGGATCCTCCTTTGAGTGCAGTCACAGGCATGCAGTAAAGGTAACAAAAGTGAGTCTGTACTGGTAAGTCCTTAGGAAATCCGCAATCGTTTTTTTCATGCGTTCCAATGATGGAACGCAAAACCTGGAACCGGAAGTGCGTCACAGAGAAACAATACCCGGAAGTAACAGAGAAAGGAGGGAAAAAACGAAGCTGAAACAGATTCAAAAGGAACACTACTCATAAGACTGAAAGCCAGCAACTGAGGAAGCCTCTTGGAGAGGTTAAACACGTTTTGCTACAAAGGACTTACCAGTACTTTTAAACTGTTGCTTTTTTTTTTTTTAACGTATGTGTGACTCAACTTCGCTGAACTTGTAACTTAACATATATTAATTATGTGCGTCACATGCATAATATGCAGCCACAACAGCGCTGAAATGCTTGTGTCCTATTGCTTGTTACACTGTACTATCATTTATGCACTAGGGGGGCAACACATTACTAAATGACACTGAAATAAACAGTCTCGCTGTTTACTCTTAACCTTGGGATGTGCCAGTTTATCCAAGCTACTGCATCTTTGTGGGAGGTAGTGACAAACAACACTCCACGGCAAATTAGCCGCCGGTATGACCGCAGTTGAGTAACACTGAAGACTGTGCCCACAATCTATTATGTGGCAAGCCCCAGTGGACCATCTAAGACAAACAGCAGTTTTGTGCTTTTTAAGCCTCCATTGATATGGAATAACCTCTATACATTGAAATCTGAGAGACGTCCCGCCTATTCTTAACTGCTCCATAATTCCTGTCATCCTCTCACGTTGTGGCTGCTAGGAGCAAATCCTTTGATCAGAAAAATGGTACGTAGCGATGGTGTCCCTTGGAGTGTCATTTGCAAAGCGCTGCGGTCGAGGTAGGCGATGCAAAGACATTCGGATACCTCTAGCTGCGGGACCAGTGTTTTACACAGGGTCTTGAGGTAAGCAGGTAGCTTCTCGGTGGTGACAGAGTCCACTATACCCCTAAAACTAACGTTGTTTTGCCTTGAGCGGTCTTCAAAATCGGCGATCTTTTGCCGTAAGATTGTTTGTTCCTCTTCAAGTTTCTGTATTTTGTCCGCAGCTGAGTTGTGGGCTCTGCATAACTCCTCCATTTTCTGTTCAAGATGAGTGGTTCTGCTGTCTAGATCTGCTATCTCTCTGCTGAGATCTCTCGACAATTCTTGAAATCGACTTGCAGCGTGGTCTTTAGAACCATTAGCATAATATAAATGCTTTTATCAGAAGTTGGAATGTCCTCAGCGTAGAACTAAGCTTGATCATGCTCGGAGGCCCCATCTGAAGTGGTCGCGTTTGCCATTTTGAATAAACTTGAGGCGATCCTTACAGTTCTGGCGCATGGGATGTGTGATCTTTACATAGTTACATAGTTACATAGCTGAAAAGAGACTTGCGTCCATCATTTTCTGCCTTCCTCACATTTGTTTTTTGCTGTTGATCCAAAAAGGAGGCAAAAAACCCAGTTTGAAGCACAATTTTGCAACAAACTAGGAAAAAAATGTCTTCTTAACCGCAGAATTGCAGTCAGATTTATTCTTGGATCAAGCAGTTATTACCCCATATTGAAAGATTATATCCTTGAATATTCTGTTTTAGCAAGTATGCATCTAGTAGCTGTTTGAACATCTGTATGGACTCTGATAAAACCACTTCTTCAGGCAGAGAATTACACATCCTTATTGTTCTTACAGTAAAAAAAACCCTTTCCTTTGCCTTAGACAAATCTTTAATTGTTTAGAGGGTGCCATCGGCTTACTGGGATCTCGAGGGTCCTTTTGATGTAAATGTTTGCTAAATGTGGCAACATGCTGTGTCAGGCTTAGCGGTCACGGAGCTCTTACTCCATGCGACTTGTTCTGACGGCGTTTAGCCACTCCACCCTTTAATTGCTATTTTAACCCATGCTTGTCACCTTGTGTTAGAACAAAAAACAAAGGAAGGGTGCGCCTTTAATGCAAATATTTTGTACAAAATATTTATATTAAATGAGCACCCTTCCTTTGTTTTTTGTTCTATTTCTAATTATCTATAGGGAATTAGAGGGTACTCCCTTTTCTGTAGGTGTGCTGCCTGTACAATATATATACTCCTTAATTCTGTGTCTGTGGCACTTTAGCGCTGATCCTACCTTGAACTTTTTTTACCTATATTGTCACCTTGTGTGTCTGTAAAAGAGGCCAAGCATTCAAGGGTATGTAAACCTTTGATCATTGTCATTTAGGTGATATATGTTATCATTAGGATTTAAAAAGGAGCCAAACAACTATGTGATCATACATGGCTTTATATGATCACTATCCTTCAATAAAAGACATTTTATTTGCATGATCAGTCATACTTTCAAAATCAATTACAACATTTCACAATTTCTGCTAGGGTATGCAAACTTTTGATCACAACTGTATATTGACTTTCTCACTAACTATATATATATATATATATATATATATATATATATATATATATTTGAAGGGGAACTGTAAAAACATTTTGTATATACATATATCATTTATTTACAGTTTTCCTTCAATTACACTAATTGATCTGACCTGACCATAAGCAAATAGAATCTGGATTAACATGCTTATTGAATGTTCAATGTGTTTTTGGAAATAAATGTACATGTATTAGGGCTTCATCACTAAAATGTAAATTGTGATGAGTGACACATTTATACAAAATAAAATCCCAAGCTCAGTCAAGATGTCATCCAACTCAATATTGTTGACTTTATTTTAATGTAACTCATTGTGAATAAACATCATTAGCCATTCCACTCTGCCCAAGCCCAATTATTTCTTGTCTGTATGTGTCATACCCATTCTTGCTGACAATGTTTTTAATTACCCCTTCTATGGATGGTCAATTTATATTTGGATTTTGCTATTGTTTTATTGTATAATAGACCTCAATCTGGCACATTAAATGTTTTTTTTTATTCTTCTTTGCAGTAGGTATATATTTTAGTGATCAAAGTGTGTTATTTTTTTGTAATGTGCAATATGGAGTTTTAGTGGACAGAATAGAATACCAAAACTGTCAGTGATTTAAAGGACCACTCTAGGCACCCAGACCACTTTAGCTTAATGAAGTGGTCTGGGTGCCAGGTCCCTCTAGGATTAACCCCTTTTTTTATAAACATAGCAGTTTCAGAGAAACTGCTATGTTTATAAATGGGTTAATCCAGCCTCCAAATCCTCTAGTGGCTGTCTCATTGACAGCCGCTAGAGGCGCTTGAGTGCTTCTCACTGTGAAAATCACAGTGAGAAGACGCCAGCGTCCATAGGAAAGCATTATGAATGCTTTCCTATGAGACCAGCTGAATGCGCGCACAGCTCTTGCAGCTCTTGCAGCTCCCCGCCCGGCGCTGGAATAAAGGTAAGTTTAACCCCTTTCCTCGCCACCCAGCCCGGCGGGAGGGGGTCCCTGAGGGTGGGGGCACCCTCAGGGCACTATAGTGCCAGGAAAACGAGTATGTTTTCCTGGCACTATAGTGGTCCTTTAATTGACTACAGTTATTCATTCCCCTACAGGTACTTCTGTTTGTTGTTCTAATTCACTGGTCAAGTAATATCAGTCACCTTTCATCCTCTTGAACTGGCAAAGTGCTTATGCAAAAAAGCCATCAGCTTTGATTTGCTGTTTTCCTTGGTTATATGACTCACACCTGGTAACGTCTTGACACAGATCTATTTAGACATGCTATATAATTTAATTCCACTCTAATTCCACTGTGCAATTAACTCCTAATAACACACAGTAAAAGCAGATGGATGAAACCATGTTTTTACCAATTTCCTTATTTAAAATTTGCCTGTGGGGCTGCGTGTTATTTATTGATAACAACCAAATATCAAAACAACAAATGCCCTCTAAACTAGAAACATTATAATGAAAGTATAATACAAAATAGCCTTTAAATGTGTTTTGTTCATCTTAAAAATAATTATAGTTAAGGAAGAAAGGTTTATTGCAGGTTTATTCAGCAAACAGTTTAAATAAAATGAAATAGAAAACCTAATTTTTAAATGAATTAAAAGCTTAGATTTTATAATCAGACATACATGTTTAAATTTTTATTTAAAGAGACTTTATTTTAATTATGCTTTAAATGCACATTTAACACTTATATTTCTGGTTGCTAATGCTTACACAAAATAAACTATCTATACACATTATATATGCTAACAGATATTTTTTATCCCTTTCGATATTCAATATAATAAAAATATAGCAAATATAGCAACATTTTATACTGTCCCTAGCATGTCCATTTTGTCCATAGAATATCTATAAATCAAAATTGTGAAGCACCCCACATGACGACAACAACACTTGAGAACTTGCATACTTGCATTTTTTAAGTTTAAGTACAATTCACACAACAGGAGGGCACAAGGGTGATACGGTGCTATCCATCATTATCTAGAAAGCTTAAACTATCTTTTTAATTATTGGAAAATCTGTAAAACATTGGCTAGAGCAAGTAACAACCCTGGCTTAACCCCTTAATGCCGTTACAGCGTTCTATTCCGTCCCGCATTAAATGGGCTTTAAAGCCGTTGCGGCGGCATAGAATGCCGTAACGGCTTTGAGCCCTGGAACCGCTGGGATCCTTACCTTCCCGGCGCTCCACTTCGGGAGGACTGCCTGACAGCCCAGGCAGCCCTCCCATGGCAAATCAGGCCCCCGGGGGCCATGTGATCGATCTCATAGAGTGAACACGTGGCCCCCTATAGCTGGCTGTGGATCTGCCAGCAGGGGGACTGTCTGAAATGTCATACAGTCCCCCTGCTGGTGGGAAAGTAAAAAAAAAATATTAAACATGTTTTAAAATAAAGTAAATGTATTTATATATATATATATATATATATATATATATATATATATATATATATAGTATATATATATATATATATACTATATATATATATATATATATATATTATACAGTTGCAAGAGAAAGTATGTGAACCCTTTGGAATGATATGGATTTCTGCACAAATTCGTCATAAAATGTGATCTGATCATCATCTAAGTCACAACAATAGACAATCACAGTCTGCTTAAACTAATAACACACAAAGAATGAAATGTTGCCATGTTTTTATTGAACACACCATGTAAACATTCACAGTGCGGGTGCTTAGTCACAAACACTGGCCAAATATTAGTTTTTTTTGCTTTTTTCACACAAAAACAAATATGAACGCTAACTTTGGCCAGTGTTTGTGACTAAGTGGCTACTATAAAAGACTGGACATACCCCACTTGCAATACCTTGGATTGTCTACTTTTGCAAATGGTATGCCATCATGGGAGTAAATCTCATTCCTGGGCTACCATACGGTCTCAAAGGCAACATAACCAACCTGGCAAATTTCAATTTGAAAAAACTGAAAAATGGAATGTGCTATATTTGACCCTTTAGCTTTCCAAAACACCGTAAAAACTGATACTGTTGTACTCGTGAGACTTTGCTGAATCCAAATATGTGGTTTTTTTGCAGTTAAAGCTAACGGTATTATGACATTTACAGCTAAAATGTCTACACATTTTTTAAAAAATTTTTAATTTCTCACAGTTTTTTAAATTTTATTCATAATAAATTATGTTTCAAATATAAATAGTTCATGAAAAATTAAAGCCCAGTTTCTCCTGAACAAAATGATATATAATAAGTGTGGGTGCATATAATATGAAAGAGGCGAATTACTGTTGAACAGACATATTGCGCAAATACCAGTTTTTGTTTATATTTTGTTTTGATCAGCATGTGTACTATTGACTCAATCCTGAAGGGGTTAAGGATAAACTATGTTATCAGAAGCATTGGGTGACAATAGCAGGATATAAATATGTTGGCTTATTGTACTAGCACATACACAAGGTCTGTGAAATTATTTGTGAAAATGAAATGCATGTTTTAAAAAAAAACATATTAATATAACGATCAGTATTGGCAGAGGTTGTTGATAAAATAGTTAAATTAAAATTGTCAAAATGCCCTTGGGGGTCTGCTTTCTGCAAATATATACTTTGTGTGCTGTTGCTACTATTGACGCTGTAGGCTCCACAGCCAAAAATAAATTGA